GTGTTCTCTGGAAGTAGAGAAGGGTCCAGCAGGTGATTGGGCTTGCCCTGGGCAGGAGGTGGGGTATCTGGCCTCCCCAGGGCACTGGGCACCTGACCCATCCATTTGGGTGGATTTAGATAAACACACACTAAGTTCTTCCCCTCCCCCCACTACATGGACTGACATCTGCCATAACATTACACTATATTTGTCATCTTTCATTATTGTGTCTTACCAAATTGCCTAAGATCAGGAACTTTTTTTTTCTGTCACCCCCCCCCACCAAATCTATTTCAGATTACTTGATACAGATTTTCCTCCAGTACTGAACCCAGGATGTTGCACTACTAAGCAAGTGGTCTACCACTGTGCTACATCCTCAGCCCACTGATAAAGATTTATTAAGTGAATGATGGTTAGATTCAGCAAAGTTGTGGGAAGAGGTGGGGAACTTGAGAGACTTCTGTCATCTACTGGCCAGAGGCGATGTCTCAAGGTAGACTTGGCAGTGAGGTGAAATAGATGGAAAGAAGAAGGAAAGACTTGTTAGGGCTGGAGACATACTCAGAATGCCAGCACCTGGGATGAAGGGTTGGAAAAGTGAACAAAGCTGACAAGTTGATAGAGATGGCCTTGAACTTGCCAGCCTCCTTTCTCAGTCCAGAGTGTGAGAGTTTGAGGAGTGTGTCCAGCAAAAGAAGAAGAGGTAGCTGACTTAAAGGTGTCTTGAAAGAGGAGCTTTTAGGGTTGGGTTTTGGGGGTGGAGAAATTGCAAGAGGAAAGCAAGAAAAGAAAGAAGTAGGCTTCTTTATATATAAATATAACAATTCTATATATAAACATGTTTCTATTTCTYCTATATAAATATAACAATTATATTTAAAACTAAGCTTTTTGTTTTTGTTTGTTTCATTATCAGGRATTGAACCCAGGGGTGCTTAACCACTGAGACACATCCAGAACCCTTTTAATCTTTTGAGATAGGGTCTCACTGAGTTGCTTAGGGCCTCATTAAGTTGCTGAGTCTGCCATGTGACCAGCGCTGGCTTCATAAAAGAAGGTTCGATTCATGAGTAAATGCTAGGGAGTTTTTAATTAAGGAGACGAGACTCTTATTGCCTTTAACACCAGCTCGTAGATGGCTTCTCCTAGCTCCCACCTCCAGCCACCTAATGCTGTAGCAGGGTTTACAGAAGAGACTATCGAGAGAAAGAGAGAACACGCTAGAGAGTGGGCTTTTATTGGGGAACCAAAAATTCCAGGGAAAATCCCATCCAGTGAAGGTTAAGGGGGGCAGCATCCCAAGGTCAGGGGCGACAATTGGGTCTTCGGGGCAGTGTCCAGGCATGCTTCTGCAAGGACAAGCCCTCAGACCTGGAGAAGGGTGGGGAATAGCTCTGACACAGCTATGTCTAAGCGCCTCTCACCCAGCCAGGGAGGTAACTCAAATCATGTTCGAGGATGGCCTCCCACAGCTGAGGCTGGCTTTGAACTTGTGATTCTCCTGCCTCAGAATCCTAAGCCAAGGGGAGGCATACACCACCGTGCCCAGTTTGACAGACTATTTTAATGGATCCTTGGACATTTTAATGATGTAGTTTATGAGATGTTTATTTTTATTAACTATTGAACTTAAGCATTTTTATGCCTTTATGTACAATTATAATAGCTATCGAATGGTGAATATCTCTCTAAATCCTGCCTTAGATGCTTTTAGTGAATGCATTTTATTAAAAAATAGGACTGAGGGGCTGGGGATGTGGCTCAAGCGGTAGCGCGCTCGCCTGGCATGCGTGCGGCCCGGGTTCGATCCTCAGCACCACATACCAACAAAGATGTTGTGTCCACCGAGAACTAAAAAATAAATATTAAAAATTCTAAAAAAAAAAAAATAGGACTGAGAATGGATATAGCTCAATAGTAGAGCATTTGCGTAGCATGTGTGAGGCCCTGAGTTCAATCCTCAGCCCCACAAAAAAAGAAAAAGAAAAAATATATACCGAGAAATGTATATGTGTGTGTGTATAATTTCAGAAGAATTCATAGATATCCATTTAAAAAAAAAACAAAACTCAAATACCACAATAAAAAAATCCATCAGCTCAGTCCCTCTCCCTCTCCCCTCTCTAGAGGGGAATTCTTGGTCACCAAACTTCCAGGTTTTTTTCTATTTTATTCTCATAGAGTTTCGTTTTGTTTGCTGTACATATCATATTCCAGACTGTTTTTGTCTCCTTAACAACAGTCTTGGAAATCTTTCCAAAGCAATACACATGCTGGTCAGTTGGAATTCCTTCCCAGTTCTATCTTGCTATGACTACTACCTTTTGTAAAGGCTAAATTGTATTCCATAGTATGGAACCCACATTGGGTTGCTCAAGCAATGCTGAGATGACTATTCTGGTAATTGCCCACCTTTTATGTAAATGGGGAGCAGTGTTTACAGATACTGCCAAATTGCTGGCCAGAGAAGTAACAGGATTTGCAAGAATCCATTTCTCCATCTCTTATTATCATTATTATTTTTTTTTGTGTGTGTGGGGGGCATATACTGGGGATTGAACCCAGGGGCACTTATCCACTGAGCCACATCTCCAGCCCTTTTAATTTTTTATTTTGAGATGGGGTCTCGCTAAGTTGCTGAGGCTGGCTTTGAACTTGTGATCCTCCTGCCTCAGTTTCCTAAGTCACTGGGATTACAGATGTGCACCAAAAAGCCCTGCTCATTTTTAAGTTTTTCCAGTACTAGGGATTTAACCCAGGGCCTGGGGAATACTAAGYAAACACTCTACCACTGAGCTTCATCCACCCCTTTATTTCTTCATCTCTTCACCGGCACTGCATACTACCAATCTTTAAATTTTTTTCCAAACCAGTGAGGGAATGATAATGTTTTATTTGAATCTGTATTTCCCTAGTTGCTGGTGAGGTAAAGCATCATCATTCATTTATTGACAGGTATGTCAGTGTCTACTCTCTGAAAGGCACTGAGTCAGCAATGGTGGATAAACTGGGTGCAGTAGCTCATGCCTATAATCCCAGTCAATTGGGGAAGCTGAGGCAGGAGGATTGCAACTTTGAGGCTAACCTCAGCAACTTAGCAAAACACTTTTTTTAATATTATTGTAATCTTTTTTTTTTTTT